TCTAAAATAGGTGAATCCACAGAGACATAAAGCAGATTGCTGGTAATGGGGGGTGGGGAGATGGAGAACTGGTGACTGATTGTTATTGAACACAGGATTTTCTCTGGGGCTGAAGAAAATATTTTGGAGCTAGAGAGAGTTGTAAAATATTGTGAATACTACATGACAATGAAATGTGCATTTCATTTTATGTTATATGAATTTAATTTCAATAAAAAAGATATAGCTGAAAAGGTAGCTACCCCTCGTAGTAAGTATTTAGAGGTCTACACTAACAGAAAAAGCAAAGCAAACAGCCTATATAGTAAGCAACCTCTTTAAAACTGTAAAATAGAAACTCTTTTGTTAATGTATAAAAAAATACATAATATAGCACAATACAATGAACAAAAGCCAAATATATTTCTGAAGTAAGTAAATTTAAATTGGTTTATATTATCCAGTAAATAAAAATTATTTTAAGATGAGATCAAAAAACACAGAGCACCTCTGTTTTGCATACACGAGGAACACAGAAAACAAATTATTTGAGAGAAGTTAAAAGTAAAATTTTGGGTGAAGTCATGCTAGGGAAATGCAACCCCCACCCCCCAAAAAGAAAACATTTCAACCTTAATGTTGAAAAGATATATCATGGAATTCAAGGCCTTTATACACAAAAAGAACAACCAACTAGAAAATATAATGAAAGAAAATGTTTCTATTTATCATAGCATTTGAAAAGGTAAAATACCTTGTAATGATATTAATAAGAAATATGCAAGAACTTCTTGAAGAAAATTTCAATACATACTAAAAGAAACAAAAAGAGATTAAACAAATATAAGTATATGTCGTGTTCTTGGATTGGATTTGATCTGTACATCTAGAATTGTGTGTGTGTGTGTGTGTGTGTGTGTGTGTGTATACAGAAAAATTCTATAAGTAAAAAGAAAAAATAAGAGAATTAGATTTACCAAATCATCTTATAAAGCCCTAATAACCAAAATGCCATTTTATCTGGGTGCATAAATAAGACAATATAACAGAAAAGTATTTAAAAAGTGAAAAAACATAGACTAAATAGGGAATTTAATATAAGTTAAAGTTAATGTCTTCAAGCAATGTGGAAAAGATGGGTGATTAAAAAAAATCTGTGATGCTCTCATGGGAGAGAATTAAGTTGGTTGCATACCTCACATCTTATATCAGGATAAATTGCAAATAGATAAATTATTAAAGGTAGAAAACAACTATAAAAGTTTCAGAAGGAACATGAGATCTTTCCTTAATACATTTAAGTGTAAAAGCCTTTCTAATCACAACCCAAAATCCAGAATCCTTTTAAAAAATTGATAAAATTTGACAAAAAAAAAAACTTTATGCAAAATTAAGAGAAATGAAAGCATGGGAGGAAGTGCTTCCAACTCGTAATATGAAGAATTAGTCTGCTCGAGACATAAAGAGCTCACAGAAATCAATTTAAAAATGACAAAAGTCCAATGGCAAAATAGAAAAAAAATGAACAGACAGCTCACAGAAAAAAATAAATATAGAAATGAAAAATTGAAAGAATGTAAGGACAGAAATACAAATGGACAGAAATACAAATGCTTCTTAAAAAATACAAAATAATGGCTTGAAAGAAAGCAAATTAAGAGATGCTATTTTTCACCTGATGTTCTTTTGCTGCCAGTGATAACATAGCATTTTATAAGCCCTATAGGACCATTTAGCAATAACTGTGAAAATTCAAAATCTGTCTCACACAGAGGCCAACATATGAGAAGTTACCGATGCACACAATCATTTTTTGAAGCACCTGCATTGCAAAAGATGGACACCAAGAAGTCTCTTTGTAGTGGACTGGTTAAATACATTAAATTTATACAATGGAATACTATGCTGCTTTTTAAAAAAATATGAGGAACTCTGTACACAGGCATCAAATGTCTACAATATACGTTATTAAGTAAAAGATGCAAGTTGCAATCTCATTTCAAATCATATGTATTGCAGATATGGTTTTAAGTGTTTACTATAAGAAAAGAGGAAAGCAGAACTACGTTTACATTTGTTTGTGTTAATGTAGAGGGCATCTGAAGTCTACATGGGAAACTAAAAGTTAGGTGAGTGTGGGCAGGAACAGAAAAAGAGCAATCCAAACTCTTTGTGCTTTTTATTTTTTGCAATATGTGAATGTATTACCTATTCAAAAATTAGATTAAAAGTAAAAAAAAAGTGAACAGAAAAGGCATGAGACTACACTCTGATAAACTGCTCCTGTCTTTTTATCTTTTGTGTGGTTTATCTCTACCTTCACTGTCTGGACAAAAGTATGGGACAGAGCACAGGAACTCAAAATATCGGATGGACATAGCCCCGCTCTTTTCAACCTCCATGTCTCCGGAATACATAAAATAATTTCATCACAAGACCTGATGTTCTTTATAATACAATAAGATGATATATAAAATATGCTAATCATAATATATTGTAATGTATAATATGCTATAAAATCAATAATGTATTATATTTTTCCAGAAGTCTTCTTATGGATCATTTTTACTTATGCAAGTAAAAATGCTTCATTGAGTACAACCTTCCTTAACAAAATGCAACCTACCTCTCTCTCCCTGCTAAAATGTCCATGCACACTAACATTTATATATTAGTCAAGGGTTTGCTGACATCACAAGGCCAACCCATTCATCCTAATGGTCAGAGCACTGCAAGCCAGCATCCCAAGTAAGCATCCCTGTTCAGCACCCTTGGACCTGTGCAAGCAGTCACCACTCTAGGAAGATCACAGCCTACTGTACAATTCACAACACACAAGTATAGCAGCTGCATCATTTGGTGCAATTTATAGCATTTTGGGAGGGCCAGATGTATAAAGTAAACCTTTTCCAAGTAATTTTTTTAAATTGTAACTTTGGCCTTTAAGATCTTCTGGCATTCTTTTACTTCTTAGGAAACAGAGTGCTCCTTATTAAAAGTTGCAAACATAATTTGGGAAAAGGTTGAGCAATAAATAATAGATTTACAACTAGTTTGGTACTTGTGTCGCATTTAGGATACAGTCACACATATAAAACACGGATGAAAAGAGCATCCCAGGGAATCATTACCAGTGCTGACTCACATTCATTATCTCTGCTAGTTTTTGTTTTGCCCATTCCTCATCCCCTAACTTAACCTTCAGATACTCCCGAATTCGTAGTTAGTTCACAACACAAAACTTCCTCCCACTCTCTGCCTGCTTTGTTGCCTGCATTTCATTTCATCTGTATGTTACTTGTTCATTTGTGTGTGTTTTTTTTTTTTTTTCTGTTTTCTCTTTATCAAGAGGTACGCTCCATCAAAGTAAAAAACCATATATATGGACTTGGAATGGTTTGGCTTAGACTTTTCAACTTCACAAAAGTGTGAAAACCATATACATTCAGGAGATATCTCAGTACAGTATTCAAAACATAACATAAACTACTCAATACCTTACTATAAAGTTAGCTTCCTGTTAGATGATTTTGCCCAGTTTTAGGCTAATGTAAGTGTTCTGCGCAGGTTTATGCTAGGCTATACTGAGCTATGATATTTGATAAGTTCGATGTACCAAATGGTTTTCTCAATGTATGTTATTTTCAGCTTAGGATGGGTTTATCAGAACACAATTCCATCAAAGCTGAGGAGCATTTGTACATATTTTAATCACTGCTACTCCCAGTGCCCATATGGTAATTAGAATATTATATGTTTTTAATCAATAAATGTAAAACAAATGAATCAAGGAATGTGTGAGTGAATAAATGGTTCTTTTTAGTACATTTCTGTTCATTAGTTATATAAATAAAAGCTACTATAGAGCAGAAATCCCCATTTGCTTTCAGAGAGAGGTCGATACACGTTAAAGCGGCACAGTCACACAAATTTGTGAAAAACTAGATGAAAAAAACAGTTTTTTTTTTTTCCTTTTTTTCTTTTTTTGAGACAGTCTCACTCTGTCTCCAGGCTGGAATGCAGCAGCGCGATCTCAACTGACTGCAACCTCTGCCTCCTGGGTTCAAGTGATTTTCCTGCCTCAGCCACCGGAGTAGCTGGGATTACAAACACAGGCCATCACACTCGTCTAATTTTTGTATTTTTAGTAGAGACGGGGTTTCACCGTGTTGGCCAGGATGGTCTGGATCTATTGACCTCGTGATCCACACTCACTTCAGCCTCCCAGAATGCTGGGATTACAGGGTGACCCACCGTGCCCAGCACAAGTATTTTTTTAAAGTAGGACTACTTAGATTCAATAACTTGCTAATGTGCCTTGTGATTGAAGAAAAATATGTAAGAATCTGTGTTTCCAAACTTATTTGACACTGAAACTCTCATTTCAAGGACCGTTCCTCTGGATTAATATTCTGGGTGATACATACTGGGAAATGACATTAAAAGTTTTTTCTCTGTGAACCTGGTTTCAGTCCATTAGTAGAGAAAACACTTATTTGTCTAAAATTAAAACTAAAAAAAAGCTTCGAATAACTGAAAAATGTAAAACATTCTACCTCTGAAAAAATGGTAAATTAGGAAATTTATTTTTTAAATCTAGTTTTTTAATAATCTGTTCAGTTTTATTTTCCTCTTTCTATGACATTTACAACTGAATATAACAGGAGAATTAGTATTTGTGAAGATGGTCTTGAGTCATTCTAAAAGACAGAATGCTGTCTAAATAATAAAAATTAAAATTGATTTAGTATTGATTTTTATTTTATTGTAGTCTAATTATTTAACATTTCTAAATATTTGTGCCTCTAAGGTCATTCTGCTTATTAGGTTATTACTTTAGTATTAATTATTATTTATTCCCAAATCATTTTGAATAAATTTATTTTTTTATCTGATTATAAGAAGTTTTGAGATGGATGATTGATTTTAGATGCAATTCAAATACAGTCTTTAGACTTGAAACATAAATGTTTGGAGTGGACTGAATTCTAAGTAGAAAAGTACTGGGGATATTTTATTACCTTTTTGTATAGTTGGTGTTTCACTGTCTGCAATCAGTTGCAAGCAGTCCTGAGTGACTAAAAAGCAAAAATGTATCGTTTTAGTTACTTGAGTAGAAATAGTAAAGAAACTAACTGAGAACACAAAGTTACAAACCCATTCTTCCAGAAACACTAAATAAATTACCTTTTTTACATTGATTGCATGATATTATTCTTAAAGTTACTTTATATTTGCCCATTGATTTTAATATATATATATATATATATATATATATATATATATATACTAGAAATCCATGACACTTCAGGAAAACTCTATGTGCTGTTAAAACATAATAAATATATCACCTGTACGGTTTAACCTAATTTTCTATGAAAAAATGGCTGAATAGAAAGCAAGTTTTATCATTTGTTTTGCAGGTCTACCAAATACATGGAACAGTTAACCTTATAAGATCATTCTAAACAGTCTTTTGTTTTAAAAAAAAAAAAAAAACTAACATTAGATAATGACTTACTACTATAGAAAATACTATTTCTGACACTTCTCAAAGTTAAAAAAAATTGCTAATATTTACTGAGCAGATGTAAGTGCAGACAGTGTACAAAGACTTAGTACTCATCAATTCCATTTATTCTCACAAGAATCCTAAAAATTAGAGACTGGAAATCAAGATTTGGAAAGTGTAAACAGCTTGTTCAGGGACTCAGAGACAGAAATGGTGGGACCAGAATTTAAAACCCACCTGTTTCACTCTGGTTCCAAAGGTAAGGTTTGGTAAAATATTTTGGACCAAAGAGAGATAGAACATCTTTTACAAATAAAATGGAAGACTTCCATGAGTCTGCATGATCAGTACAGGGTCTTGAAAACATCAATTCACATCACATATTACATGTAGAATATTCCAGTCCATATTTAAGAAACCAAGTAACATGCATTAAATAACGAGAAATGCCTTTAGGTAAAAGCCAATTAAGTACACCTACTGAATCTGTAGGTAAGATAAAATAAAGCAGTAAACATCTGTGAAAAACGTGAAACATAAATCTAAGGTTGCAGGTTTTCGATTAAAAAAATATTAGTTTAGTTTTTAATCTAGCAAATATTTTACTCAGAGTTGAAGTAATACTTTATAAAGATGCTTCTCAATGCATACATTTTATAAACTTGACACAGTAGGGAAATTCTGTTCTGATTAGTTGGTGATTGTATGGTGATTAACTGAAAAACTTCTAATAAAATCATGCACTGCATGACCTAAATAATGACATTTAGGTCAAGGAGAAACTGCACATCTGATGGTGGTTCCATAGGATTATTTATAATATCACATTTTCACTGTACCTTTTCTATATTTAGATACACAAATACTTACCATTGTTTTATTATGCAATTGCCTAGAATATTCAATACAGTAGCATGCTGTACAAGTTGGTAGCCTAAGAGCAATGGTGTGTACTGTAGAGCCTAGCTGTGTAGAAGGCTACACCACCTAAGTTTGTGTAAGTGTGCTCTGATGCTTGCACAATGATGAAATTGCCTAGGGATGCAGAAGGTATCCCTGAGACTGTATCCCTGTGATTAAGCAACACACGACTGTATTTAAAACTTGAAATAACACCGCAGTAATTAAATAATGTTCTAAGTTTGTATAAATACACACCATTAAAGCCTGTGGTCACATAAGAAAATCTGTTAAGAAATTCCGTTTGGTATTTAAAGGTGAAACTATATTGCTAAAAACTATAACAAATTGTTAAAAAACTGTAATTCCTTTATAACTATAAAGCTTTTCTAACATATTTTTATGTTAATTTTTGAATCATTTTTATAGAAGAGCATCTGGCCCACCCTGAGGATTCCTTTATTGATCTTATACAAGAAAGGTAGCCGTGCCTGTGCCCCAGGAAAAACGTGATTCGTTTGTCACCATGGCAGACTCTCTCCTGCTGGAAGTATGAAAAAGCATCATAAGAAGAAGAATTGTAGTGAATGAGGACGGCATGAAAGAAGGAATAACAAACCCTCCAGGGCAGCTAATGCCCCAAGGACACAGTCTCTATGTTAGTACATTAGTAGCCACATGGAACCTATTTTAAGAGTTTTTATTTTTCCAACAAATCCTTCTTAAGTAATTTTATTCACAAGGCACCCTGACAGGTTTGTGTGAATGGCACCAGGGTCAATCAGACCATACAAAGCTCTCATCTTTCCTCCACATCAAAAGCAAGGGAGGATGTTGATGAAAGTCAAAGTTAGATTTTTAAACTTTGCATCTTTCCCGGTGTGTGTACGTATGTTGCAAAGAGTGAATGACGAAATGCATGGGAAACACTTTGCACTGTACTCAGTGCATAACGCTTGCAAAATAAGTAAACCTTGGCTACTTGTATCAGTAGTAGTGTTAACATTGTTTTTAATAATATCTAGGCAAATAACTTAGAAAACATCACGGAAGGACACCGTGGGAACATGTGGCCCAACTGCAGCTGATAAGGGCCAAAGAAGGACCAGAATGCAGGATTTCCTATTTCCAGTCAACCTTTCTCTGTTTCCCAAAAACTTTGGTAGGAGACTGCTATGGTCTAAATGTTTGTGCTGCCCCAAAATTCCTGTGTTGAAACCTAACTGCCGACCTGATGGTATTAGGAAGAAAGGCTTTGGGGAGGTGGTTATGCCAGGAGGGCAGAGCTCTCGTGAATGGAATTAGCGTTCTTGGAGATCCCAGAAAGGTAGCTTGCCCTTTTTCCCACATGAGAAACCAGTGAGAAGGCATCATCTACAATCCAGGAAGCAAGTCCTCATCAGATACCGAAATCTTAGGTCTTGGACTTCCAGAACCCTGAACTGTGAGAAATAAATCTTTACTGTTTATAAGCCACCCAGTCTATGGCATTTTCTTCTAGCAGCCTTGAATGAGCTAAGGCAGATTTAGACACTCTATTTAGTCAGAAAGAGGTTTACCTACTCAGTAACAACTTGACACTATGAAAATATCTCCATTTTAATATCCACAGTCTAGTGAACATTTGGTCACAACCTACACATTGAAAAACAGTGGTCTGCTCTATCACGTAGTAGCAGAAATCTAATATTTAGCAGAAAATGTGCTTTGAAGAGAAAAGTTTATTTCAAGAACTGTTCTTCAGAAGACAAAATATATAAATTTGATGTTTCAATAATGATGTTTAAATTACAGCCACTGAAGTTAGTACTATTTATCAATTGTCCTTGCTCCAGATAAAGTTACTTGGTTTTTCTAAGACAATTCCTCTCAGGAAACTTGACAGCTTTTATCAACTTATCTCCTATTCAGTCTTTTAAGACTTTCTTTCCCATTCAACATAGATCTGGTCTTAGGCTGGAGATGAACGCTTAGCTAAAGATTTGCTTCACCAAGAGTGGAGCAAAAAAGGCAATATTATTATTATTATTATTATTATTATTATTTTTTTTTTTGAGACGGAGTTTCGCTCTTGTTACCCAGGCTGGAGTGCAATGGCGCGATCTCGGCTCACCGCAACCTCCGCCTCCTGGGTTCAGGCAATTCTCCTGCCTCAGCCTCCTGAGTAGCTGGGATTACAGGCACGCGCCACCATGCCCAGCTAATTTTTTGTATTTTTAGTAGAGACGGGGTTTCACCATGTTGACCAGGATGGTCTCGATCTCTTGACCTCGTGATCCACCCGCCTCGGCCTCCCAAAGTGCTGGGATTGCAGGCGTGAGCCACCGCGCCCGGCCGGCAATATTATTTTTAATATCTCCCAGTAGCATAGATATCTAACCACAAGAGTTTTGAAAATGCATAGTCTAATATAAAAAAACACAATTTGATTACAATTGTCATATTAACTAGTTATTGTGTGGTTCTCAAAAGCCTTTCACACATCTCTCCCTCTACTACAATTGAAAGGAATTATACAAGAGGTTAAGAATAGTTTTGTTTTGTTTTGTTTTTTAACTAAGCAAGGCAATAATATACATTAAAACCTTTCTGAGTCTATGGGGACACATTTCTGAATATAAATTTCTGGAGATTATGATGTAATAATGTGTAAAATACATATTAATCTTATAAAATGCCATTTTACAGCACAAGAAAATTTACTCATGATAATAAACTTTGCATAAAGTATTTCTAAATACAAAATATTATAATGATGACCAAAATGTTTACAAGATAAAATTACCAAAACAAGAATTTTAAGGACAAAAATAATTTGCTACTGATCAATATTTGACACAATAAAATTCAACACTTCACAATTAGAGCGTAATTTAAATATCATACATATGGGAAACATTTTTACAGTTTGAAAGGCCACCTTTTGAAGCATAATGTCTAAATACCATTTCCTCAGAAAACGTAATTTGAAAGTTTGGAGAATTGCTAATATCTGTTATACTATTTTCTGTACTGGAAGTGAACCCATTCAATCTTGAAACTGGTTTATTATACATTATTTCAACAAAGCTAAATCTAATCTAAACCTTCATAAATAATGCCATTATTGCAGATTATGTGTGGCTCCCATGAAAAACACTCCACACAGAGTTGTCCCATCACATTTAACCTATCCACAGCACCTGCGCCCACTGATTCTTCACAGCGCGTCTCACTCATCTCATGCAGGAAGCCTCCTCCGGCTTTTGGTCTGGATGAGATGTGCATCCTGCATCTTCCCTTATCTCTCTGCTTTTTTTCCTGCCATCGTATTTACTGCACCATATGTTTTTAAAGAAGGAGGATCTTGGACGGCAATGCCTCACTTTCACTTCTGCATAACTTATCATTTGATAGACATAAGTTATGACAAATGTAGCAGTTTAATTTTTCTTGAACTAGCTTTGAATACATGATCAGTGGCAGAACAATGTTAACTAGGGGAAACCACTTAAAGATCTCAATATTGGCCTAATATTTGACATAGACTTACGAAGAAAATGGGGAAAGCATGATATTGAATTAACACTTTCACTGAAATGAGAATACGCAAATTTAGAGGAAGGAAGCTAGTGTATAAGGTTTAATTTTACCAACAATAACTCAGTTGTTTACTCAACAAAGTAA